ATACAATGGATCATCATTTGATGGATGGCAGAAGCAGCCTGGCTTGAACACTGTTCAAGAGTAAGTTGTATATTATATGAAGTTTGTTGGAGCATCATTTGAAGTTTCACTAGGTTAGCTTGAGCTATTTTTTTGGGAATAAAAGGGTGATGAACTCAGGAAAACTAGTTTTGACTTTTTGCATCCAAACCACTCATGGAAAAAGTTTACTCGGTATTTGTTTTTTCCCCATATTTTCATGCTTGCTTCTTTCTTTTCACAGGTTAGTGGAAAGGTCTCTAGGGATTTTTGTTGATGAGAGGAAGGCTCAGCAATTGAAAGAAAAATGTAAACCATTGGAAGGCTGTGCTCTGGTTGCTGGACGCACTGACAAAGGAGTCTCTGCCATTGGACAAGTTTGTTCTTTTTGTATGTTGCTATTTTTTTTTTTCTTTGGGGGTGGGGCGATAAAATGTAATGTTTATTATCCCAAGAACATGTTGATAATTCTTATAGTACATTCATACTTATTTCAACCTTTTATTATTCTTCCTTTCTTTTCTCTTTTGCAAACACATTTTCTTGTAGTTTGTGTGATATGTGGATGTTTGAGATATGATATTACTAGGGAAATTGTGTAAATTGTTTTCTCAAATCTTTCTTTATCAAGTTGGTATCTAATGTTTTGTTATCCTTGGATTATGTTTAGATACTTGGAGAAAGGACATTAAACCTTGCCATATCAAAGATGCTGTCAACAATATCGGACCAGGAAAACTCAGGGTCTTGTCAGTTTCTGAGGTAAAGTTGATCTCATGATATCATAGTATTACCTTTGGTAAAATTTTCATTTGGTTTTCATTGAAAGTGCATAACTTTAATCTCAATATCTTGTATCTCAAAATTACTTTTGTCATAAGCTTACAAATGATGTAACTCACTGTAGGTTTCACGTATGTTCCATCCAAACTTCTCTGCCAAATGGAGGCGCTATTTATATATTTTCCCCTTAAATGAAGGAGAAAATAAGAAGCAAAGCTGTCAAAGTGAGAAGAAGTTTGAGAATTTAAACTCTAATGAAAACCATGAGCTCAGCAATGGATGTGGTGAAAACATTGGGATGAAGAACGTTGAAAACTTTATCACCAGTGAGAATGTTGGGTTTGAAGGAGGGAAAAAGCCAAGAAATTTCAGTATATTCAGGGTTAACCAGCTTTTACAGCAACTAGAAGGAAAATTATTGTCCTACAGGATGTTTGCACGGGACACTAAAGCATCTAGAAGCATGTCAGTAAGAACTACTACAAGAAAATAGCATATCCTCCTCTTCCTCTCCCTCTCCCTCCTTCATCTCTTTTTCCTTTCTCTAATTTGTTCTAGGCTTTTATATTAATTAATGTTAAGGAGAGTCATTTTCTTCATAGACATTTTAATTGAGCCTTTTTTTTTTAATGTTTTGTCTCAGAGGACCACCAACAGAGTGTTACATGTACCGTGCTCGTGCTGCTGAAGCTAGCTTGCCTTGCTATGTAAATGTTTGCTTCCTGTTACTGGTTTTGCAAAATTTATTTTCCACCTTTTTTCCTTTTAGAATTAACATGACCATAAGTTAGTCGCATTACATTCTAATAGGTTTGCATGTCTCTTCTAAATTCTGAAATAGTATGAATTAACTTTTAATAAGTTATTCCATCAAAGAATGATGCCACAATTTGTGGAATCTGAGCAAAGATTTACTAGAAAACTTTTACATGAAGGACTCTGCATGGTCATTTTTTGCTGTTCAGCTTTCATATGTGGTGTAGGGTAGGCTAAACATATTCTTGGATGCTTAGTTCCTTTTCTTTCTTTTCTTTCCTCTTTTATCTAGGATATTGCAAAAATTTTCAGGACACATGGAAAATATATTAAATTGCAAGGTTAGCACTTAAAATATTTTAACCATGAAATTCTTTTGATAGGAAAAGAAAGTTTAGTGCTTACTTGGCATTGTTGCGGTTTACACCTATCCTTGAGATTTACCCAGAATTACTTGTATTCATGATGATCCCAAACTGTGAATGGACTGAGCATGACTTTGCACTGGATATCTATGTCCCAGACCATTCCCTCCCACGGCTTCTCCCTTTGATTTCCTGTAGCCGTTTTGGGCCTGTGTTAAGCCTTTCGGGTCCTTATCAGTTGTCAGTTTGCATAGGCACAATACTGGCATCAGTGACACTCTAATTAGCAAATCATTAGTTCTGTTGTTTTAATTTTTTTTAATGAGATTACACTTAATGAGCAGTTGGTTTACCTCTATGACTTGCACAGGCATATATTTGCCTCACTAATAGCAATGCTATTTTCTGTGCAGGATCATGGTGAAAGAATAAAGGTCATGTGTGTTGAGCTTGTTGCCAATCGATTCCTGCGCAAGGTATATGCTAATGTATTTGCTTTTGTGTGTGTTTTGGAACTGTAGATAATATTTGTTTCTTGGTCTATTGATTAGTTTTACCTTCAAATGAAATGAATCATATTGGAAAAACATGAGCCCTGTCCTTTTATGAGTTTCAACAATTTCTAGGTATAGAAAATTCTAATTTTTGTAGGCTTTGATGTTGGATTGTTTAAATTTGTTTTTCAAGTCTCAGTTTCTTAATATGTTGGATTAATATGTATGACAGATGGTTCGTGTGCTTGTTGCAACATCTATAAGAGAAGCAGCTGCAGGTGCAGAAGATGATGCATTGCTACAGCTAATGGATGCAACTTGTAGACGGGCTACTGCTCCCCCTGCACCTCCATATGGTCTATGTCTTGTTGATGTTGGATATACAGAATTTAACCCACTAAATTGCCTCATCCCATAAGGTAAATTTGAGGTCGGATCCATGGTTGTTTGCTTTGTCTTTTTGAGTAGATAGCCAAATCTTTGTTGATTTCTTATCCCAACCCAAGAGGGGTATATTATAGGATGAATGTAGAAGTTAAATCCATCTGATAACTCATCTATCATATGAGAAAATTCTAGAGAAGTTGATTATTTGTTTCTGCAGATGCTCATACTGTCTTTTTTCCTTTCTGAAATAAGATATATAACATGCATTTGGACTCTACCATCAGATCATTACGTGCTTAACTAATCACGTGGATGGTAGGTCCAACGGCATCACAGCTTGTTCGGTTTGACATTGTCTCAGTTTCGATGTAGCTCCTTTTGTTAGGTTTGCATAGTAATATGGATGGAAATCCAAGTCATGCTGTCACGACTCGCGGGGCACTTCACGGTATCCACTTGACAGAAAATAAAAGGAAAGCATCCTTTTTAACACCCAAAGTTTCAATAGAAAATAAAAGGAAAGCGTCCTTTTTAACTCTCAAATCTTCAATAGTTTGCCTAATCTCTATTTTCTTTGGGGTAAAAAGAAATACCCAGCTGTCTTCATTTATTTCTTCTTCTTAGATCTTTCTTGTGAATTTTCCGTGAAAGAAAGGGATCTTTGCTGCAGCCTGCAATTAGTCTTTCTGCCTCTATTGTTGCAAAGTGTCTTTTCATTTAAGCAGCAGCCTGCCTGTTTTGCATGTATGAATATAGTCATTTGTAATTTTGTTAAGATTATTTAAAAGTTATTTATTTTGATTAATATTTTATTTGTTTATAGTTTTTTTTTTTAAACAATTAGTTATGATGTCTAAAAATATCAGTTTATAAATGTAGTTTAATTTATTAAATAATAAAAACTAATTCTTTTATTATTTTTTAATTATTTTTAACTATTAAATTAAATAGAATTGGGTGGTCATAACAGCACCCTTGTTTTCCTAAACATTGGATCACTTAATTAAAGATTAGATTAACTTATTATATATCAGTAAAAGAAATGGCGATGGCCGAACAAAGATAAAAGACATCATGATATTGTTTACTTAATCCATGATCCAAGTTTCCCAATCAAATGTGATTCTCTACTTTATTTTATCATATTAGTTAAAAATTCAATCCATTTTGATATCAATATGATGAGCACTTTGAAGATTCTTGCTGGGATTTGCTTTATCAGAAAGATAAGTATATACTTTGTGTGCATGCATATGACCAAACCCTGAATGTTAGTTCTTACCATTTCTCACGACCATGAATTTGAATGTTTGGTTTGACATTTGGGCAATCCGCAACTTGTCTGTGAACGAGATATTGCTCTAAAATCAGAAAGTCCAACTGCAAAAAACGGGTTTCACTGTCAATGATAACCTCCCCTTGAGGATTCCTTCAATCGTGGTCTTTCCAAATTTGTCTGTGAACGAGATAGTAACCTGTTAACATATCTGACTTTGATAAGTAAGTGAATGATAATATTGTGACGTGGCATTTCGCATTGTATAGAAGAATTTTTCACTTGCATGCATTTTATGTTTAAATTTTTATTGACTCATATATGTGTATATGTATGATAGAAGCTTTTTTTTATGAAAAATGATTTTGAGATAATTTTTTTGAATTATTTTTTGGTATAACTTGAGGTGTCATTTAAATAATTAGTTCTTTTTATTTATGTAAGATCTATAATATTAAATGGAGATGATTGATAAGTAATTCAACTACCGTTATTATAAGGTATTGAATTTTATTAGTTTGATACATATATGGCTTGGTATACAAATGAAAATGATCAAGGGAAAGGATAATTAAAGAAAAACTATAAAATAGACTTATGGCTTTCGACGATAATAATGGGGATAAATGGTATAGAAAGTCTGGGCCAGGCTGAGGAGCAGGAGGATCGAGGCAGCCAATGCAGATATGAAGGACCAAGGAGTCCTAAAGTAAGTGTTCTTAAACCCCGCCCATTGAACGTGCCAACTACTCTGGTAATAATCATTCACGCCGTTGAATACCTTTGACAGATAGCATTGGTCGATGTCAAAAGCCACATCCTTCCCCAAATTATTAATGAACCGAGCTACCTCGCCGTCAGTCCCGAAGTAGTTCTCGATGATATTCCGGTCGCTTAGGTACTCTACGTCCTTGTTCGTGTTCACGAGGCAGTCGAGCAGCGTTGAGTAACTAGTGAAGTGCTTGGAGCAGCCCTTGTGGCACTGCTCATACGCCACACAGTTGAGTAAGAACGAGCTCATAAAGTCATCGACGGTTATTGTTGGCATTTCGATCACTCCATTTCTGAACCTCACTATCAGGAAGCTCTCCGCCTTCATCGGGTTCAGTTTGATTCCCGCAGAACGGAGCTTTGAAATGCTGTGGATGATATGGGATGGTGTTGGAATTCCTCCGTTGTGTACTTCCTCTTCCATGTGAGAAGGAATGAAGCTCGTCCGTACCATGTCAAGTAAATGCTTGCCTTTTAGATGCTCGTGATTTAAGATATCCGCATCAGACCTATCAGTAAGAGTTTAATTAAATTAGTATGCACAGATTTTAAAACTTTGATTTTGGAGTTAATGTCAAGAGATTTAAGGCACTTCTCTTTTTTTTTTTTTTTTTTGTGGAAAGGGGAAAATATATTAACAAAACACAAGAACAAAATACATCAATGCCTGGGGAACTTCGTCCCATTCAAATCGGCGCACAAATTTAACGCACCTTTGCATCGCGTTGTTGAAGAACTCTAGAGCAAGCCGGGACAAGGACGGACCAGATTCCTCCTCAGGCATTCTTGATAGATCAAATATGCATTCAAGGACGAAGAAAGGGATTTGATTCTCCAACCGGAGGAGATCCCGGTGGAAAAAAGACAGTATCCATACCATCGAGATTATGGGGTCGTTAGGCTCGAATGGGATTAATTTCCCCACTTTTCGAAACAATTCAACTACAAAACATCCGTCGAGAACCATCATCTCGACGAACTCATCTGTGCTCATTTGAATGGTTTCCGAGAAACATTCTCTTGCTTTGTTTTCTAGCGGCTGGACTGCTCTCATCAAGTCCTCCAAGAGCAATTCTTTTTTCCCTATTCTTTTGAGCAAGGAGCCCAGGTAACTCCATTTGTGCTCCTCAATCATCTGGAGATGAGGCTTGCCGCGATGGTAAGGACCAATGGAGACCACATGGGGTTGGTAGGACTTGCCGTTGATCTCTACCATTCTTCCAGGAACCCTGAAAATGCAGCATGAGCTCCTCCCGGCAGCGTTGCTCAGCAACCGCGGCGGCTCCAAGATTTTCTTGTGCATGTAGGCTAAATGATCTGTGTTTACTTCCCAATTTTTCATGACTTCGTCGGCTGATGATTGATTGCTTTCCATCTCGGCGGCGCCGTTTAATAAGCCAAGAACTAGGTGGTGTCCAGAAGGAAGTGTGTTTGTATATACGATTTTTTCCTTTTTAATTGTTTCAAAAATATAAGATGACTTGAAGACGAATACATTTTGCGAATTAGGATATTGACGTTTGATTAATATGCCAAACCGTGGAATAACATATTTTTGGCTTTATAAAATGAAAAAACAAAAAGAGAAAAGGGTAGGCCAAACTAGGGATGGCAATTTCCTTCACAATTCGCGAAGCTTCACGGAAATCCTCACAGGGATGGAGATTTTAAGAATATTTCTCTCCGTGAGGCAAGGATGGAAGCATTTTTTCCTCTATCCCATGGGGAACCGTGAAGATCCATATAAAATAAAAAAATATAAATTTATGTTTATTTATATATTTTTTTGTAAACATATTAATAATTAATTTTTACTTACCCAACCTCATTAGCTAACTTAATACCAATACAACCTAAATTTTACAACACATTCTTTTTTCAGTTTTCCCAAACCCAATTGTCAAGTCCAACCTATTCTTTTTGTCAATCTAGTTTTCCTAAACCTAATTGCCCAAGCTCAATTTACATTGGTAACCCTCCAAAGATTTCAATTTTAGAAATGTGATTCCTCCTCTCCAGTCTCTTTTGCAGCTCTGTGTTGTAACTCTCTTTCTACTCCTCAATTCTCATCTATGATTCCTTTCAAGCTTTCACCATCACTACCCATTGTGCAACCACTGCAACATTGATATTCCCCCATCTCTCACTCACACTTGACTCGATAACTCTTCTCCAATCTCTCAATTAATCGCCGGTAACTCATCTCTTTTATATCTTTTTTCTTAATGAACTTATTGCTGGATATGTATGGTAGTAGTTTATGCATTATGAACTTTGTTGATGACAATTGCAGTTTATGCCTTTTTTTTTTTTTTGAACATTTTGTTGGATTTGTTTGACTTATATGGCAGTTTATGCCTTTTTTTCTTTATAAACTTGTTGCTGACTTGTTGGACTTGCTTGACATATATATATTAGCTATGTATATTTATTGCTTGTTTGTCTTATTTCAATTTTTTATTTTATATGATTATTTGAGTTAGTTATATTTGATGAATGTGGAAACCAACAAACTTTAAGCAAGTCCATGTTGAGCTTACTTTCGATTAACAAGCAGTAAAGTAGGTGATAATTTTATTTGGCGGGAACTCTGAATACCCGTGGGGACCTATCATTCTCCGTTAGTATAGAGACGGAGGCTATTTTTGAATTTTTACCAAAAATTCTCGTAGAAATCCCCGTACTTGTCATTAACAAGAATGGGGATGGAGAGGGACCCCGCCCTCGTGGGCATCTATTGCCATCCTTAGGCCAAACCATGGAATAACATATTTTTGGCTTTATAAAAAAAAAAAAAAAAAAAAAAAAAAAAAAAAAAA